GCTTATATTGTTCTGGCATCAGTAAGGGTTTCTAAGCTTACAGAGTGCCCCAATACAACTGATATCTCCTCATACCTGAACGACAAAATAGGTCTATTGCCAGACTCTTAGGAGACAGTGCATGAACTATGTATGCCAGACCATCCACTTCAACCCCCTCCCTAAGATGGAGACAGTCAACGGCATATGGGAGCTACTTTTCAGAAGCCTTGCTAAGAGGCTAGTAGTGCCAATAGAGAAGCTTGGACTAGTACTATAGCTTTTTGACAGACAGCAGAAAATTTGATGACATATCTACTTTTTCAGCAGATATGTTTCTAAATAATTTGACCCTCCATTCCACCCTTTTTCCTCCACCCTCCAAATTTCTTTCTCACTGCTGTCACTTTGATAAGCATGCTGTGTAGTGTAGTGACTGCATTCGGAATCAGCTTTATTGTAAAGTAGGTTTAAATATACAAGGAATTTGCTTTGGTGTCTTGGTTCACAACAATAAACGTACAATATATAAAATTAAAATTGAGTATAATATGTAGAAGAATATGTATAATAATGAAGTTCCACATGTACACCTGCATTAACGTGTTTTTTTAATTAACACGTTAATGCAGGAGTACTGCAGGTGTAATGTAAATGGAACGTAAAATAATATTCCAACAGTTTGGCATTGCACTTCCATAATGATGGAGGATTTACAAGAGAGATTAAAAAACAGAATGGCCAGTTGCAGCGGAAACTGAGATATTCAGACTTTTAGTCCACAGTTCAGCTGAAACTGCTCCCTGTCTGGTAAACACCCACATCTTTCAAACTCAACAGCCTAGTTTGTAACACTTAACACTCTGTGATGACTTTCTAATCTCTAACCCTGTTTTAACGTTTCTCAAGTTAAGACAGGGTTGCCCTTTAAGGCTCAAGAATCTAAAAGTCTGCAGTCCAACCAGCCAAAAACTGCAACAGCTGATTTCACTGATGATTCACACCACTCCAGCTCAAATCAGTGAAATCAGTTGCTGTAATTTTTAATACTTCAATCAATCTGAAGCAACAAGCTAGTCTGTGTTTGTGTAAATGTGAGTGTTCTAAAGAGTGTGTTGCGTGGTGATGCAAAGGACAATCTACTGTTGTTTTGGTTTTGTTTTTTGTTTCATTAGCTCCTTCCCTCCTCCCTGCCTACCTCTATTTGTGAAATCGCTCTTTCAGACAGATTGGAAGCGCCTTGATTTGTGGTGAGCAAAACGAGCTGGACGGGGTGGAGGGGGATTAGTGCCACTCCAGGACAATTATAATCTGGTTGCTGCTACGGCAACCTTATCTCTTCCTCCCTCCCCAACACACACACACATTTTCTTAATTGGACGCAAGTCTCAGTGTGGAAACAACAGTGCTGAGTTCTCCGTGGCCTCGATGAGGCCGTGTTCAGTCGTGAAGCCACCGGAGGAAAATAGAGAGGGCCTGAAGTCATTTCGCAAGCAGCAGTGTGTCGTATGAACATTTATAAAGGACTTAAATGAGGATGTTTGAGATTTTAATGAAGGCTTGTAATCTATCAGAGCCACTGAGTAGTCACTGTGTGAGCAATCAATCCCCCCCCCACCAAAAAAAAACATGTTTATCTCCTGATCCAACAAAAGCACTGCTGGGCCAGAAACAGCCTGCAACGTTTATGGAATATATGCTCAGTGGCTACTTTATAGGTACACTGTTGTCGTAATGTAATGACATTCAATACACTGCAATGAATTCTTCTATTATTAACTTACACATTTTCAGTGTCAGCAGGTGATGTCAAATATACTTTTTCAGCTACTCTTGTAATATAGCAGATATTTCAATAGTATAAACTATGTGAGTGTCTCTCTGAGAAGTTTGGAGTATTTGAATTGTTTTCAGACATCTTGCTAATAAACCTATATTTCCCGCTCTCAGTGTATTTCGCAACCCAGATTTATTCACGGGTTTCATTTATTTTGTAAATTGACTGCACGTAGATTTAGAAAATTTCCACTAAACACATCACATCAACATGCTTACTGAAGCTTCAATGCATTTGCTTTCCTGAATTCCAAAGACCAAAAAAAGCATCAATGAGAAAAGACAAATTGCTGCCTCAATTTCTCAGAAACAGGATACATGAGGAATTTGTAAGTGTGGTCACGAATCATGAATGACCCACGACGAATGAGCAGCAGGGTATGTGCTGATTCACTCGGAGACAATTGGGCAGGACCTGAAGGCTGGTGAAGGACGGCGCTTTGGCTGCTGCGGGGACTGAACCTGTAAGACTCTTTAATGCTGCCTGGTTTCTCAGCCTTATCCGCATCACATGGTAATGATGCCTATAAACAGTTTTCAATTTCTGAGCTCAAAGTGAAAACAAAACCCTACACCTGATGAAATATTTTTAAATAAATGCAAATATATAACATAAAATTATGGTGATGCCAAGTGATGCCATCAAAATGTCAGCAGGCCTTTTAAGGACAGCCAACTGTACATTTACACCTGCTACTGTACTTTAAAGGATGTTTCTTGCGTCATTCTTCAAATTTGTTCTTCTAAATAAATGTAAATATCCTAAAGACTGTGGGGCAAGCTACCTTGTCTTTATAGCAGGACACTCCTCACTATACTGCAGATCTGCTGATGTACTCATGTCATTGCCATGTGCTGCCACAGCTCCCTCCCCCACCCTGACCTCAGACTTACAGTATGTGCTAAGCTTTTGCTAGTGTTGACATTACTAAGATGCAATCTTCATGTATGCGTCTATTAAGGAGGGATCTGCTCTCCCAGGAGAATCCTTGTTACTGCTCAGATTCTTTGGGAGCTTCCTTAAACAGCATAGCCTTTCTCACCAAATCCTAACTGCACAACTATTTGCTATAAACGGTGTCAGTTCCTTGACATCAGTGTGTATGCCTGCAACGCCCAGCAGAGATGGCCTCTCTAACATCTTAGGCCACTATGATGTCTGTTTCTCTTTCTTTCTTTGTTCCACAAGGACCCCTCCAGGAGGTTAATGAATACAACTGCACATGTAAGATTTTAAAAAGTAAGTGGTTGACACTTATTGCCCAGTAATTTAAATCAAGGCAAATACAGAACTGTAATCTTTGGGTTCTTAAAAATAAGTGTCCACAAACAAACCACAAAAGACACAAAGAAATAAACCTTTCTGCAGATGCAAAAAAATACTTTTAAACTGTGTTTATTCCTGCTTAAATAGACATACTTTTTCCATATCATTCCAACACATCAATTGCACTTGACGTGCCGGATTGTCAGATGCATCAACTTATACAAGCTGGTGATAATTTATGTTCTATTTTACGGTTTGACTGTTTTGTCTTTATTGGTTTTATTGCATGCTATGTTCCCCTGTTACCTTTGCTGCTGCAACAACTTAATTTCCCCACAGGGATCAATAAACTTTCATGTTATCTTTGTTCCAAATATACGCAGGCATCAGTGAGAAAATGAGAATTCATTTCTCCGCCTGCCAAATAAACCCAACACTCAAACCTGCAGGCCTGTTCAAAATTTCCTTACAGAATCTAGCTTGGATGTCCACGAGAAAACAAATCGTCTCCTCTGCACTCTTGAGAAACAAACTTCTTTTTTTCTATTTTTAAGCTGTCAGCAATGATGTAGTATGCTAATATTCTTATTTTACAGTGTATGATAAAAGTATAATAAACACTGCATGGGGAGATGATGGATGTTTTGTTGTAGGTTGTGACTCACCACCAGCTTTTTGCTATTCCTCTATCTGGCAGCTTGTGATGGAGGGTTTTTCTCTGCTGCTCTCCCTCTCTCTCTCTCTCTTACAACTGAGGTTCGATTGGCCGTAATTGGCTCCTGTTTGCAGTTAGGTATTGATCACCCTGAGAGACCCTGTATTCCACCCTTTTTCCTCCACCCGCCAAATTTCTCTCTCCCTCATTCTCCTTACCCCCCGCCCCAACCATTTCTCTCTCACTGCTGCCACTTTGATAAGCATGGTGAATGGCGTGCCGTCATCGGTGCAGACTAACTCTTGAATCAATAGGCGAGTGCAGACACTCAGCAGTCTATTTCGTGCAGAGATGGTGGAGAATAGCAATGCTAAAAGTTGAAAACCAAGACCAAGAGAGGCTAAGAGAGAAAGAGAGAGGTGGCAGGGATGGATTGGGGGCCAAACATCAGAAATGTTGTTTAGATCTTTTTCTTAAGGTGCTGCTTACTTATTTTGTGACTTTGTTATTCATTGATTTAAAATCTGAAGGAAAGTAAACGGAATTTATTTCTTCAGAAAGTCAAAACATTTGATTTTCAACAACATGTCTTCCCAGAAAAAAATTACTGCTCTACCTTAGCATAGTTCAGCTTCTTTGAAAAAGAACTGAGATTTTAACATAAAAGAGAAATGCATTATCTGAATAGGGATATCTGAAGTTTTTTCCTTGTTAAACACCATTAAAAATTTTTTTTTCCATGCTAGACTTCATTTTTGTACACTGTCCACATTCTTTTGTTTCTGTGGCTATCTGTCATGGTTTCATCGAGGTTCCATGATTCAAATGAAGGGATATGCCCCTGCATTCAATGATACTTAAGACAAATATTAGAAATTAAAAATTTCTAATATTTAAAACAAATTTGGCAATTTGGAGAAACCCCTTTCCTGCTTCAAGATTATCTGCTCAAAGCCAGTTCTATGGAGAAATTGTTTTCCCAGTTTGGAGTGGAAGAGCTTGACTGGCCTGCACAGAGTCACCTTTGGGATGAACTGGAACGCAGACTGTGAGCCTATCATATCCCCCAGCATCAGTGTTGGACCTCACTAATGCTCTTGTGTTTGAATGGGAGTAAATCCCTGCAGTCAGGTAGAGTAGAGGTGGTACAGTATACAGTAGCAGTAGATTAATGGCCATAATTGGTGTTGTCCACATACTTTTGGCCCTTTAGTGTAGGGTAAAATGAAAAGAAAAGTGATAAGTGTAAAATGATGTACTCACATCAGCGACCCCGGCCTCCAGGATGCTGAGCTTGGCTTCCTTCTCCACAGCCACTTTCTGCTGAACTACAGTAAGAAAAGAATGGAGCGGGGAAACAATCATCAATAATCTGAAGAATGTCAAACATATTTATTTTTTAAGCTTTTACAGAAAACGATATGGACAACATTTTTCCAGCCTGTTGTTGTGCACAAAAAAGCAATAATATACACAGACTACAATAGACAAACTAATTAAAATTAGCTGATAATAATAACAGAAGACAACAGCAATCTACATTACAGTACTCTTACTCTCCATTCAGATTAAACTGGATACACTTTGATTAATCCCTGGTGTCCTAAATAATGTGCAGTATGCATCCATGTGTGTACAGACGCTACTATTAATCAATGGTACGCATTCTGCCAAACCAGCTTTTAAAGTCTGCGCTCGACTGACTCACAGAAAATCAATGCTTCCTCCTGAGCTTTAAACACACAACGTATATACAGGAGAACCAGAACCTCATTGATCCAAACGCCTCGGAAAGGCAATTTGGTTTAACCAGTGAAACTGTTCATCCTGAATATAAAACATTTCTACCGTGATTAGGATAAGAAACGTATCACGGCAGTTTTGACATTTTTTATATTAGAGCGACATGATCATGTTATTAATAATGTGTTTTTTCCATGTCCTTCAAGGATGCTTTTTATTCCAAAAAATAACAGAACATAATCAGAAACTACATCACTGTCTTCATTCTACACTTGCAACATAACACTCTGAGACACCATGTTAACGTTATGTAAGTCTGAAGTACCCACCGCTGGTGTGTCTTTATCCTAATGATTGTGGGCACAAGATCAGCACAACAATCATCGTACTGTTATCTTAATATTCTCAGATTTTTCGTAAGGTGGGCTCATTCCGCAAAACATTACTAACTTCAGATAACTGTAAATTACCTGCGTAAACATGATGAATGCCTTCTGTGCGTTCATGAGAATTGTAAATTAGCATAATTACTGCCCCAATAATACCATACAAGGCTATGCGTCCTGCCCCATATTTCAGGAAGTGTTCCTTCATGAAAATGACATCAAAGAGTAAAAAGAATTACTTTACAAGTTTGGAGATTGAACTCCTGCTTTCGGACAGCCATAAAGAAAAAAACTATCATTTTTAACAGAGTCGGCAGTGGAATTAAGGAAAAGGGCTGAATCGGTGTGTCTATTTGCGGAGTTGCAGCTCTAATAAGTTTCACATTTGCCGAAGCACAGCCCATGGTAATCTAAACCACAACAACAAACCATTCATCTGTCTCTGCCAATATATCACCACGCTGTCACTCTCTTCCAAGGGTCTGACGCACGGAGGCATCCAAAAGATTACACTTCTAGCTGACCTTATTATCTACAGAGACAAATTACCCTTCAATTAGTGCATCATATAAGCTGTTTTGTAGTTTGAGATGTTCATATTGATATTGTATTTAGTGTAAAGCCTCAATAACCAATTTAAATGGATGATATAGTTAGGCTATATGAATACATTTTGAATTATATTTTAATTTGAACTGCAGTCAAACAGGATAATGTCAACATAATTATGAAGTGTAATTTATATAGGACTTTCAAACTCAAAATTGCTTCAAAGTATTGAAATATAAAATCCATTAGTGAAAAACCTAGCTTGGGATAACAACAGACTAACTGAACATGACTCCTACAACATGTCTGGACCACTCCTAAATTGTGTTTGCACCTAATAGAAAATTCAAAATACAAGAAATTGGTGAAAGTTCTCCTAAATGACTTCTATAAGCCCCTTAAGTACAAATCTGTTTGTGTGAGTGGCTCTTGACTGGGGTCCATTGCTTTGGAGGGCAGGAAGGTATGACGGCTTGGTAGTCTACATTAACAGTTGACTCTCAGCCCCCATCCCCCATTTTGGTGTCTGGCCAACTACCTGCAAAAATAATGACATTCTCATCAGCCTCAGCTTTACTTTGCGTAAAGCGGCGTGCTGACAGGTAAGGTGACCGTGGAAAACATTACGTGCTAAACAAAGCTACCAGCAAGTGAGCTTTTCCTATGCATTAAGCTCGAGTGAGTGCATAGGCTCCATTGACAATTGAATTGCAGTGGACAGGTGGCAAAAGCAGCTTCATCATCTGAGCTCCTACCAGATAAAAACAATCTGGTATCAATCACATTTTCAGACATTATCTCCAGCTTGTGAAGCGGTGAGCAGGCAGGACGTAAAAATAAGTTTGTACAATTGGTGAGAGCCACATTGGCTGTTGAGTGGGATATGGAGTCTTATGAAGCTTTGATGAAAGTTCATTGAGGAATATTTTTTCACTCACATTGTCTTCTATCGGCAAATTTGCTGTTTCTTTCGTTTTAAATTCAACTTACAACTATCCTTTAAACTAAGGGCAGTGCCTAGCCTACGCTGAAATCTGGATTTTAGAAAACAGATGGTGAAGGTGGTGATGTCAATGGGGTTATAATTTGAGCACTTCCCAGACATTTGCTGAATTAGGCCACACACCTCCGCAGGGCTCGACAATAAATTCTGCCGTTCCAGAACCAAATGAGCTATTACTGTAGCATATCTTCACTTTATGAAATATGAATTTTTCACCTGGCCTGCCGCCAGGCAAACATTACAACAAATTTCCACACAAATAGAATTAAACCCTGCACAGAGCTCTCTTTCTTCATCATCTTAAAGGGATACAAATGGAGAGCTACAATTGAAATTCACGGCAGAGCACATATTAAAGCCAGAACAAAGTGTTATGAAAAAAAAAGAAAGGATACATAATTACATTCACTTTACTTTGCATCTGAATACACCGGTGTGGAGACAGAGAGTGAGTCTCCTTTGTTGACACACCAGGCAGATGAAGGATATGCAAATTGTGAGCCTTGACTCTGCCATAGTCCTCCAAATTCACCAACAGCATTTATAATCAGTCTTCTGTCAGAGCACAATTCGCCAGTGTCGCCAAGTGCTGTGTAACCACAGACCTTGACCTAAAACTCGGAGTAGATCTTTACAATGCACAAAGCCACATCATTCACATATAGGCAATGAAATACTCTGCTGGCCCTACATCTCTCGAATAACAACATTTGAGAGGCAGACATTAAGGATGTGCATGTTTACTGTGTGGTTAGTGTGTTATATGAGTGTAAGTATTAATACTAATCTAGGTTACAAACAGTAAAGTATACTGTAATAAAACCACAGTGAAGTGTTATTGTTTCCAATAGAGAATTGGCTGACTGGTCGGCGTCCATGTCCCAGACAGAGACGTATGAACACCTTGTCGGCAATAGCCAAGTAGGCTGACATGTCTTAATAATGCTGTCAGCAGGTAGCAACTCCAGGCTCAGCTCCCTTCACTGAGAAATAGAAGCTGAAGTGGCAGAATTGGTATGTCAGCGTCGCCTCTTCCTCTGTTCAGTGAGGAGCATCTGAATTGACTTCTGGTTCAGTGTTACACATGTCTTATGGTGACGTCGGTTGCTTCTTGTTTGGGTTCTCCAACCTCTTCAGCGTCTGTCGACTCAGGTGTTTGTCTTCAGTCATTACAGGTAAAACCGTTGGGTTGTGGTCAGAAGAGCAACATGCTTTCATGGTTCGTCCCACTGAGATCAGTGCGTCAGTTGTATGTGATTAGCTGTTGATTTGCTTTTGGAAGATGATTGAATTAATTAACTTTTACTTGCAGTTACATGACCTGCTGTTTTTAAAGGCTGTAGCCACATGACTCTTCTTAGCTGTACTTTCTCCAGGTTATTTAATGTTAATGCCACCTTTCTAAATTACTCCAGCTGTTTTTGGTAACTAATTGTAACCCTTACACTGCCCATAATTAGACTCTTCACTTGTGCAAGGTACATTTCACATTATCCACCATGATCCAGAGCTGTGTGAGGTTTGGCTTAGTGTTTGGGCATACAAGAAAGTAGCACAACAAAACCAGTCTCCACTTGATGATGTACTTACTACTTGCTGGTTGAGCCATGCTTGCTGTACCATTAGATGTCGCTAGTTTAGTGAATTTACTTTGCCCCTGCTAGCAAATCCACTGATTCCATTGAAATGAAGTGGTTTTCATCCCAAATGTTTCTGTTAAACATGCTGGTGTGGTGGAGCCCTTACAGCCGGGTTATACTGTAAAAGCAGTGGTTGTGATTTGTACGGTGTGTCCAACCATGTCAAAAATGAATAGTGTTTATACCTGATCTGGACGGCCAAATCCCTGGCTCCTTCCTCACCACTGCACAGTTAGCCAATCACGGAGTCATGAAGTGGGTGTAAAAGTTGTTTTGGAGAGTTAAAGAAATGGCTTAATCTGATGTTGGAAAGGAGTGGGTGGAGGGATCTTCATAGCTATTTTACCGTCCGACAAGCACTATTGACAGAGAACAATGGCCCCTTTAGTCAGACCTCTGGAGTAGTCAGTGGCTATTTATTTAGCAAATACTGTCACAAAAAAAATATGCAAAGCAGTGTACCAGAAAAATCACAATCAGCAATCATTTCTGAAAGAACTGAAGAGGACAGGTTTAGGATGATGTCATGCTGCTGGGCAAAACAATTCAGACAGGTCTGGGTTATCACGTATCGATCTGGAAAGTTAAATTTTGGGAGAGATTAGGAGGAAGTGGTTTGTTTGAAAGTTTGTTTTGCCGCCTCTGGAGCCATAAACTTCACCCTCTAGCACTAAATAATATATTATCGCAGCTTTATCTTACTTTCATTTTACAGATTAAATCAGTTTTATTTGTTTCAATTTGATGCTGTCAATTCTTTTGTTAGTGCCAATTCTTTCAATTCATTGTCACTTACTTTGAATGAAAGATGTAGTGGTGCCAATGCATTGATTCTTCCAAAATGTTTTAAAGGATTAATTAAGTTCAAATGAAACACAGGCAGAGATGGTAAACAGCCGCCAACTTTGGGACCAGACTCAGTGAAACAAGTAAAGACTCTGTTGCTTAAATTGCCTTTGGTAATTGGTGAGGCAAAACCTATTTGACTTGCATCTGCAGGAAAGCCT